GCTGGGACAGGCTGGTCTCCCGCCTCCACACCCGCCGCTCTCTGATGGCCGACTTAGGGACCTGCCACTCTCCCCGACTCTCCCCAGCCCTGCTGACTGCTTCTCCCCACCGACTCTGCCCCGTTTGGGGGTGCTCATGGGGACTCCTGTGCACAGGGGCTTGTCTGTTTCAGGTGGCTCGTCTCCGTGGTGACAGGAAGGGGATGCCAAATTAACGCCGGGTAATAAATTCTGCAAAAGCCAATAAAACCGAAGCAGAGGGGTGCAGGCGAAGAGCCGCAGCAACTGGCTAAACATTTGTGTTGGCAGCCGCAGGCGCAGGGCACATTTGCTAGGTTGCGTCAGGAGACATCTGGCCACAGCCCACGTGTCCATGGGAGGGGATCCCCAGGAGCAGAGACAGGGGCAGGGAGCCCGGGAGCCAGGCAGCAGGCGCTCTGGTTCGGGGCCAAGGCGCCTCCAGGGCAGTGGTCTCCTGAGCTGGCCGGGGCACTCCGGCGGGGATCACCCCACATTCTAAGCCTCAAGCTCAGGCCTGTGGCAAGCTCCATGGGCTGCAGAGGCCGAGGCCTGGGAAGAGAGCGTTCTGTGTTTGGACCACCTATGCCCAGTCCACCGCACCCCACACCCGGACTTGGGCCTCTGGGCTCACGACTGAGGCCTAGTCTTCCTGACCTCCAGGGAGAAAGGACAGAGCCCTTAGACCAGAACTGGCCCACAGGAGTCCCTGGCTCCTCTGGGTTCCCAATCACGCCACTGAATACAAGGGGACTTCAGGAAGTGCAAGGGGAAATGGGATGGAAGGGGGAGTCTATGTTGGTGCAAAATACTGAGAAGTCCATGCCTAAGGCTTTGCGGTCATGTGATTGATGGGTGCTTGGAGGATGCCCGTGGTCCCCACAGTCCTGCCCTGCTGCCTTCTCCACAGTGTCCCCTCCCTCCAACCCCTATGTCTGCAGCACGGCTGCACACATACGTGGGAGGTGTGTGTATGTAGCTGTGTGTGCATGCATGTGTATGTATGTGAGAGCCATATGCATGCACGTGTGAGCTGTGTGTGTGCTAAGTGCATATGTGTGCATGTTTGAACATGTGAGTTTCACATGAGAGCTGTGTGTGTGCGTGCACGTGTGTGTGCGTGTTCCCGGCACATTTCGTGCCTCCTGCAGCCTTGCCTCTTTGCCATGCTTGCTAGCCAGGCTGAAGGCCCCTCGGGACCCCATGGGGCCAAGACGCACTGCAGGGGAGGCAGCCATAGGGGCACACATGGAGGAGACACACAGGTGCAGAGGGCCAGTCCTTGGGTCTGGCCGGAGGAACTGGTTTTCTACATGAAACTCCTGCTCCTTCGTGACGCTCTGCCGGGACAGGACAGAACCCAGCCTTCTCGGGCCTGCCTACAGGAGCCCTGAGCCCCCAAACACAGGTCAGAGCATCGCGTGCTCGCCTGGGAACCAACGAAACCAACCAACCACTCGAAAGCAGCATCATCAGCCCCATGTAAACACAGAGGGCGGTGCTGGTCCTGGGACCCAAGCCTTCAGTCCCACCCTGGGCTGTCCTGCTCTGGCATAAAGCCCGTGGCCAGGGGGCCTCCTGTCAGCTCTGCTCCTCCCTCACCCAGAGGGAGGCCGGTGTGGCCTTTCGGGGCTGAACCCAGCAATACCAGTGGGCGTCTGTGCACCCCGACCTGCTGTGGAACGACCCTTGTGCTGCCACACGGGGGGTGGGGTGGGGGGGGGGCGTCTCTTGGCCAAGCCACATGCACCGGCGGGACTGGGGCAAGTCACGGCCCAGCCCTGGGCAAGTCCTCTCTGTTCCCTGCTCGCCTTTGCCCTCGAGTCAGGGCATCTGTGGGCCCCGGGGTCAAGACCACTGCATCCTCGCTGCTCCCAGCTCCGGGCTCCCTGGCCTCCTGCTGCACCTTCCTGGGCCTCCCAGCCACTTGCTGCCCCTTACCTGTGGCATGCTCAGCCTCACCTTCAGGAACGCCATCGCCCAGCCCTCACCCGGACAACACCTGCCCTGTTCTGGGGTTCCTCTCGGGGTCACAGCTCAGGCTAAACCTCCCTGGCTGGGTGGGCAGCCGGTGACTGGGCCCCTCCCTGCACCGTGGCTATGGCCGAGCTCAGTCGCCCTGCACTGCGCCTCCCCCTTGCAGCCTCGAGGGCTCACAGAGGCCAGACACGGAACGTTCAGGAAGCTGTACCTGCCTCCCCCATTCGGGAGGGCCCTGGCCAGAAGGCTGTGGGCCACCCCTTACCTACCTCGGAGAAGAACACGGAGAGGATGGCCAGACTGACCCAGTGGATGACGCCGGCGAACTGGAACGCGCTGGAAACTGCAATCAACACGACACGGGCTGATTTTAGGAGCAAGGAGAATGCGTGTCCGTGGAGGAGGCTTCACAGCAGCAGGCAGGCCTGGGACCCCGGGGCCCGCGGTGTGGACCTCCAGATGTGGTGGACATCGGCCCGAGAACACGACAGCGCTAACCGGGGGGCTGCGATGGCCGTGGGGGCGTGAGGACGAGCGGCGTCACCCCTCTCCTGCCTACAGGAGGCTCCCCGCCCCCACAGGCCGCTCCGTCCTCCGGGCGCTTTTGCTGTAGCTGGGCTCCAGGAAGAGAGCGGTGGCTCTGCACCTGGGCGGGCAGCCTCTGTCAATCTGGGAGGGCTCTCAGGAGTCCACGCCACACTCGCGTCAGAGCGCCGATGCTCCTGGAGCAGCACACGCCCGTCTGGACTCCCAGCTTGCACACTGAGCGGCAGGGACGGCGGCGTCGGCCGGGGTGAAGGCCGGGGCGAGGGCAGGACACGGAGTGGGGGGACAGCTGCCCCGAAAGCAGCAGGCGGGGGTCTGCTGATGTCCTATGCTCTCCTCGCCTTCCCGTCCTGGGATGCGAGTAGGAAGAGCTGCCGCCAGTCCTTGGAGTAAGGCCCTGTCTCTGGGAGGCCCTCAGAAAACCCAGGCAGCGTGACCGGCCTGGGGCCAGCCGGTGAGTTCGCCAGCCCACACCGCCCAGAGCGGCGCGCTGGGGCCCAGGACGGGGGAGGCAAGCTTCGATGGAGGTGGCAGAAGGATGCCCCCTGAGGGCAGAACTGAAAGAGGCCCTGGGGTCAGACGTCCTGGGGCAGTGGCCAGGCCACTGGGGGACAGACAGGGCTGCGGCTGAGAGCTCGCTTACTCTGCCTGCCCAGTGGGCTCTGGCCAGGGCTGCTGGGTGCTCTGCTCAGGGTCCCCGGGCGCCGAAGGAAAATGCCCAGCGCCACGCCCGAAGCCCTGGGATCTGCAAAGCGGGGGTAGGTGAAAACCAGGTCATAGAGCACCCCAAGGGGAAGGAGGCAGCTACACCGGGTTCCAGGTGGGAGACTCTTGGCCCTGGCGTGGGGCCAACGGGACCCTTAGAAGATGAGCCCCCGAGACGCCAAGGAGTCTTTCCTGTCCCAGACACGTGAATGGTAGTGGGAGCCTGGCGGAGGCCTGTGTGACTCTGAAAAGACCTCCAGATGATTCCGAAAACATAAAATCCCTCCCCATTATTTCTCAAATGAATTCCTGTGCCTTTTTTTACGGTTTGCTTTAGAAGAGCAATAAATCTCTGATTGTGCGTTTTATGGAATTTTAGATGCCTTTTATGAGCTGCTATCGGATCTCCCACCCAAATCAATCTCCCGGATACTTCATTTTAAGCAAAATTCCAGCGCTGGCCGGCTCGCAGCTCTAGCCAATGCCCGCCGCAGCCCGAGGAGCCGAGGCCCCCAGTACAGCCCACCACAGGGAAAGAAAGACTCCGTTATGGTCCGGTCTCGTAAAAAGCAGACGGCATGGATGAGCAGGAGGGCAAGTATCCAACACGGTTTAATTGAAGACAGGCCCCGTCTAAAACCAATACGGGTCTCTACGCCGGGAGATACTTTGATTGGAATCGAGGGGCCACCTGCTGCATAAAACCCAACTAGGCTTAGCAGACAAAAGCAATTCCGGGCTCCCTGTCATCCTCTCTGAGCACAGAGCGGTCCCTGCAGACCCTGGGTACCGAGGAGTTGGAGGCATTTGAGAAAACAAGCCCAAGATGACTGAGTGGATTTGGGGGCAGCTGAATCTGCAGCCCTGGATTTGGCCAACAGTAGGAAAGGAAATCTCTCGGGGGCAACAACTTCCCCTCTTTTTAAATTCGCACTTGAACGATCCCCTTCTGAATCAGGGACGTATAGGGACCTGGGAGGTCTGTCTGACACCCTCTCTCCTCCAGTGAAGACCCTCAGCCCCTGCCCCTCTGGTGCACCAGGCAGGGGCATGCAGGGGTGAGGCGGGAATCGGGTTCTCCGCTCTGACTGCCATGTTGCTATAGGGGTACCCAGGCCAGAAGAGGTGGCAGATGGGCCCCCTCTTGCCACATGGCTCGGACTCCCATAAACGTGGCACTGGGACAGTCAGCAAGAGGGCGTCGATGGGACAAGAACTGGCCAAGCGGTTTGCGGGCCGGGCAGCTGGCAGCCCCAGCTCCTACGCCTCCTACACCTCCTCCCCAAGGCACGTCTCTACCGTCCCCCAGTCTTCATTAGCCTCGTCTGTAAAACGGGGTCACATCAGACTTGCCCCCCTCACGGGGCCGCGGTTCACGGCAGACACAGACAAGTGCATTCAGGAGCATCACGGACATGACAACACAGCCGTTACTGGCGG